TCTCCTGTACCCCCTTTGGAGGCCACGCCCTCCTCTGTACAACCTTCAGCCCCAGCTCCAGCCCAGCGTCGCAGTATCATCTCTCGGCTGTTTGGGACCTCACCAGCTGCAGAAGTGACCCCTTCACCTCCAGGTAGGCCTGGGAGCAGCCCTCTCAACATGTAGTTTGGGGGCTAGCTTCTGGCATCTTGAGCCTCATGTCCCTCAGAGATTGGAATGTGGTCCCTGTGCCCCTGACAAGCTCCTCCCTCGTGGGCCAGTCACTGCCTGGTCCAGTTCTAAAGTAGCCTATGACTTTGAGCCAGGGTGCATGAATTGTCAAGTCCCAGTCCTACAGGCCCAGTTTGGGGCTTGCCTAGCGCGGGATCAGGAACCATAGAAGGAAGAAACAGCATTTCTCTACAGAGCCAGCTCCAGCTCTAGAGGCCCCAGCAAGAGTCCAGAATGTTGAGGATTTTGTCCCTGAAGATGGCCTTGACCGAAGCTTCCTGGAAGACACAACCCTGCCTAAAGACAAGAAGAAAATTGGAGCCAAAGGCCCACAGCAGGATAGTGACAGGTAATGGTGGATTGGTGGAGCTCAGCACAGGGTCCACCTCAAGGGCTAGTCAACACAGCCTCCCCATCCCTGCATCCATTCATACCTGCATCTCCTAAGACACTGCTGGGGTTGTGGACACAGCCTTTCTTGTGCTTGCTTGATTAGCAGTTAGCTCTGAGGAAAGGGCTCAGGCCATGTGCCAAAGGCCTGCTTAGACTAATCACCACCCTGGAGTAGACAGACAGACAGACAGCTCACCCTGGAGTGGGGCAGTTCATGCCCACAGCAGACTGGAGAGCACTAAACTGGAATCTTCCTCGGACAGCAGGAACCTTGATGGCCTAGCAGGGACAGGGGCACTCTGAATACATCCTGGCACAGTCTGTGTAGGTATAGTGAAGGCTACCTGGGTCTTTCCATATGGACCCAGACAAGCAGGCCTTGGCCAGGTCTGGCTTCCTGCAGCTAGCCCTTCCCACAACCCCCTGTCTGTCTTTTAACAACACCCTAAAATCTGTCTACAGCTAAGCTCTGAGATGACTCCCTCTAGCAGGTCAAATGTTGAATGACTGTTAGCATCTCCAGCATCACCATGTTCAATGGGGTCAAGGGCTCCTCTCCACTGATTGCCCATTGGCCAGCAACAAGGCAGTGTTTCCCTCACTCGCACCTGGACTCAGCAGCCCCTGTGACAGCCCAGGTCTTCCCTCTCGAATACGGTACTGCAGACAAGGCAGCTCTCCAGGCACTGGGGTGGGACCAGCAGCAGGTAGCCCCCCAGAGCTGTGACTGCCTCCCCTCTTGCAGTGATGAGGAGGAGGCCATAGGAGGGAACCCAATGGTGGCAGGCTTCCAGGATGACGTGGACATAGAAGACCAGCCACATGGCAATTCCCTGCTGTCCTCAGAGCCCATCCCCAGTAAGAACATCAGTCTTTCCAGTGAGGAGGAAGCCGAAGGACCGGCAGGCCACCCCACAGTGGCTCCTCAGCAGTGCTCAGAGCCTGAGACAAAATGGTATGGGCTGAGGTCCCCGAGGTATGGCCAGCTGAGGTAGTGGCAACCTAGGGTGTCCTCAGAACTCCTGACATTTCTTCTTATGTGAAGGTCCTCCACCAAGGCCTCACATCCACAAAAGAAGGGCGCTTCCACACGAGCCATACCCCCATGGTCAGATGGTCTCACCGCTGGCGCAGGGCCTGACCTCGGCAATACCAAGCCACCCACTGATGGCTCTCATAGACCCCAGGAAGGGAAGGACAAGCAAGTGTCATCAGAAAGTGATCCTGAGGGGCCCATTGCTGCTCAGATGCTGTCCTTCGTCATGGATGACCCTGACTTTGAAAGTGATGAATCGGACACACAGAGGAGAGTGGTAAGGACAGGCTGCTGGCTGGGAAGCTCAGCCTCCATCCTTCCAGAGATAGAGGACAATCAAGGTCTGTTTCCCAGAGCAAGATCTGAAGAGAGGCAGGAGAGTGTTCCTGGCTCCAGTGCCCCCGAGACATAATCCCTTCTTAACGTGTTTCTGAAGCCTGCTGGAGAAAGTGGACAGGAGTCCATGGGAGGGGGTCCATTGTCCACATGAAGGCCCTGCTGGTCTTTCTAAATCTGGGTCAAGTTAACCCCTCCCATTCTACCCCACCCCAGCCCCTGGATTCCCAGAGGGACTTGCCACCTTGTTTCAAAGGTCCAGTGGCAGTGGTCAGGGATAATAGGCCCACTAGCTAATCTCTCTTCAGGAGGCGTTCCCAGTAAGAGAAGACCTCTCTGATGTGACTGATGAGGACACTGGCTCTGCCCAGCTACCCCTCCCCTCCAAGCCCCCAGTCTCTGCTTTCAGACTGAAGAATGACGCAGATCTCTTCGGGCTGGGCCTGGAGGAGACAGGACCTAAGGAAAGCAGTGATGAAGGTAGGAGGGTCTGGAGCTTGTCCCTCTCCTTGGAGCCTGGGGTAACTTGGAGGTCCTCATCCTGTGGTAGTCCAGGGACCTGTGCTTAGAAATCCTAGCCTGCCTACCGTTTTTCTTCATCATGGCCATGAGAGTCTCTAGAATGGGAGGAACTGCCCAAAATTGCCATCCAAGACTGTCACCCATCACCCTGTTCATGGTTCTGTATGGGTCCCCCTCTGTGCCATCTGCTCTGACAACATTCCAGGCTTTCAGGTGTCCCAGGCCTTTGGGACAGAGCTATTTTGGAAAAAATGATAGCTGCCTAGTAGATGTGCTTGGAATTGCAGCCCAGGGGCAGACTTGGGCCAACTCAGCCCTAAAAGGAGGGAAAAAAAATTCATCCCGGGCTGGTTCAAAGCTCACCAGCTCAAGAATACATGGGAACGCCCTAGATTGCCGGTGGGACCAGGCCTTGGTGGGAATGGGTATCTGCAGCAGCCTGCCTGACCATACGAAGTGGTTGCAGGTAGGAGCTCAATTGTCTTCCTTGTGCAGATAAAGACAACAAACTTCCCTCTAAAGAGAAGAAGAAAAAGAAGAAGAAAAGCAAAGAGGTACATGCCCTGCCCACCACTGATATCACAGCTAGCCTGGACAGCCCAGGGTCCTGGAAGGTGGGATGTAGCCTTGTGGGTTGCCCATTGACCCTAGATCTGCTCTTCATGACCTTCAGGAGGAAGAAAAGGCTACAAAAAAGAAAGGCAAACACAAGAAGAGCAAGGACAAGGAGGAAGGCAAGGAGGATCGGAGGAAGAAGAGGAAGCCCCCTCGGAGCAAAGAGCAGAAGGCTGCAGATGAGCTGGAAGCCTTCCTGGGGGGTGGGGCCCCTAGCAGCCGCCACCCTGGTGGTGGGGACTATGAGGAACTCTAGGCTTGCCCGAGGCAGTTGATTGTCCTGGGAAGAGGGGAACTGCCAGTGGCTGATTTGGGGAGGCTGCTGCCTATGCACCCACGTTCCCAGGACCACCCTGCCACCTATGTCCCCCAGCCATTGTGTCTGCCCTCATGTGGTCTGGCCCACTCTTCATTGATTTTTGTGCTGGAGACTTTGGTGGTGGTCAGGCCCTGGGGTCAGGCGCTGCAGGTACTGGGCATTAACCCAGCAGAAGCCTGCTCTGCAGGGAGGGAGGGGACAGAACAGAGTTGCAGCTGGTTTGGTGGACCACCTGGCCCTCCCCAGATAGAGCTGCAGCCAGTCCCCGGTGTTTCTCAGGGATGTGCCTGGGGCCGAGAAGGGACCCACCAGGGTCTGTTTACAGAGGCAGGGTGTGGGACTGCTTGGCTTCTCAAATGTCCACCACCCAGCCCCACTCCTGCTTGCCTTCCTGAGCTCTCCCAGGGCCATAGCATGGCTTGGGTTGTGGACCTTCTTCCCCATGGATCCAGAGTAGAGCAGGGTCATGCCCTGAGCACAGATGTGTACTCGGAAGGGTGTGGCAGCATCTGCTACTGCAAAGTGGCCAGGCCCCGCACTGGGTAAGGCTGGCAAGAGAACACAATGTACCACCTCTCCTGTGGGAGAGGCACTAACAGCTTGCCACTGTGTGCCAGCTGTGCCTCTGCCCATTGAGCGCCTGCGCAGGTGAGCCTAGAGGGCGCCTTCTTAGACACTCCGCCCAGACTATAAAGCTCTCTGATTTTACTGCGGTGTGTGACTGTTTTCTGGTTCCCTAAGCTGCTTAAGATGAGACCACCCAATCTGGGGGCCAGGTTCCTGGCATGAAGCCGAAGAGCCATTTTGGAGAGGTAGCTATTCCAAGAGGATTGCTCTACAATGCTGGGCCCAAAGTGGTCTGGACTCAGTACCTAGCCATAGCATGTCAGCCAGAGGACCTGCTTGGCCAGGGCTCGGGGTTTACTCCACAAGCTGATGCAGGATTACTGCAGGGAGAGTACCTTGGGACCTCCAGCCCGGGGAAGGCAGTTGTGTCCCACTCTGCTCTACCTCCCTGCCTGCTAGGAGTCCGGGGGCGCCTGCAACTGAGTATTTCGCCCCCGCTGGCAGCTCTCCATCCTCGCCCACTGCGGACATGTTACCATGAGAACCCTCCAGAGGCAGGCAGACGTTTAGCACTGTTAGTGACGTTGGGGGCGGGGCGTATTGCTGTGCCTTCTTGGGGGCCAAGGCTGAGTGCGCTTTCCTAGGCCTGGGAGGGACGGTTTCCCTTACTTTTCTGCTATGAAGCTGTACACACAATACAAATTGGTAGCTGAGCAGGTGCTCTGGGGCATGCAACTTGGCCTTTTGGACCCCTGATATGGAGAAAGGGTCTATAATAAATTAGCCCAGGACTGCACAATGAGCCGTAGCAACAGGATCTTGCCAGGCCTAGTGCCTAACAAGGCAGGTCTTACTCTCAGGTCTGACATCTGTGGCCCATCATCTACCAAGTTAGAATGCTGGAAGGCCCAGTGCCTCTGGCAAGGGGCAGGCAGGGCTAGAATGAGGAGGGGACCACATGAAAACCTCTCCCAAAGGAAGCAGGCGGTGGCAGCCCGGGCTATTCTGGACACTGGAGGTTGCAGCTGCACTCCAGGCTGAGCAAGCCATCTGGCTCCCAGGTACCTGCTGAGATTTTGGCGTCTTCAGAGCCAAAGAGGACAGTTCCTGGGGAAAGGCCAATGGGGCAGGGAATGCTCATCTGCTTCCACCTGGGTCCAACCACAGACGTGCATTCTGGAAACTCCCCAAACCCAGATTCTCTGCCACCAAGCCAAGATTTTGGGTTCCTTGCAAGGCCCTGCCTGGAATCCTGCTGGCAGGCTTTGCTTGGTGCAAGGAACCCCTGTTCAGACCCAAAGACTTGTACTTTAGGTATGCTATTCGTGACCCTTCACTTTACAAGGCCCAAATGAGAGCTAGGGCAACCAATCGTATCTGGACCCCCACTATACACCTCCCTTCCAGCGCGGCCCCTTTAAGTGCCACCCTACTAATCGCCGCTGGGGGCAGCACTGAGCAGCCAGGCCAGGATCAGAGCTGCTGCCTCCAACCTTCTGCCGGTACCGGCTATATAGCGGGGCCAGGTACACACCGGAACCGACTTGGGTTATGCAGTCTACCTGGGCTCAGCTCGTGGAGAAATAACCAGGTAAGAGGCCAAGCCAAACTGTCCAACATGTGGAGCTGTTGGCACGGGAGGGGGCTGGCTGCACGGAAGGATGAGTCCCCGCCCCCAAGCAACGCAGACTAGGTCCTAGTGATGGCTGCTCCGGGACAGGCCAGAGAAGGGTTGCTATGTGGGAAGGGGCTTCAAAATACCTAGGATACAAAAGCAAGCCCTACCCCCAGCCCACAGCGAGCGGGTGTCACAGCGCCCAGCTCCTGACAGCTGCAGCCAGCAAAGCGTGCTGTCACCTTCCTGGGGCGGAGCCTCAGACCCTGTCATCCAGCCCAAACTCTGACCTGGCATTGAGTTTAGAATGAAAGGGGTCTGAATAGGGTCGGCATGAACCTGGGTTTGGAACAAGCCTTGGTACTTAGTAGCCCTGCTTCCAAAATGCAGTCCCTCTAACAGAAAGCCCCTTATACACCCGGGACTAGAGATTGACCCTGAAAGGCCCATCCACCTACAAGTCCTGCCAGGCCCCAACACACTCAGCTTACTCTGGAGCAAATGTCTTGGGAGTAGGTGCCTTATGGGGGAAGGGAGTGTCATCACCTTCTGAAACCCTCTTTCTCCAGCCAGCTCCAGGCCCTGGGGACCACAGACACTGGTGGCCCACATCTGAACATTAGCCTAGATCCTTTCCAGTCCATAGTGCCAAGGATGAACAACCACACGTTTCCATGGAGCTTTCCAAAGCCAGAGTGGGGAAGACTCTGTCCTGGGGGGTGGGGGGCTTTTCCACTCTTTCCTCTGCTTTCCCACCCTCTCCTCTGCCTCCTCCTAGCTGGCAGCCTCCTGCCTTGGTACACTAGTGCTAGTTTGCAGCTCAGGAAAATGACACTGTGAGCTCGTGGCTCACATGGCCCCCACGTGGTTCTGCAGCCTGGCTTCAGGAACGCCAAGCACACACTGGGGGTGGGGGTGGGGGGTCATTGCAATTATGCAAAACAGGAGGGGCTTGCTCTGCAGCCTTCTCTGCCCTAACAAGCTCAGTGGGCTTCATCCAAGGAACTGGGGTCAGAGATTTATCCAAAAGGAAAAGGGATTTGAGACCCAAGAAAACTCTTTAGGGTCATTTTCCTGCCTAGGACCTCATCAAACTGAGGGGGACATAGGCTTGGGTAAAAAGGACTGTCCCAAGTGCAAGGGCACTTGCAGTGCTAGGAGAGGAGTTCTCAGCCCAGTCTAGTCAGCAGGCAGAGAGCACTGTCTCATCTGGGATTTAACACTATCAGAGGGGTAGCTCTGCAGTGCTGGTGGGAGGGGGCTATAGGCTCACCTGTAAGGAAATCTTAAAGCCCATCATTCCAACTGTAGGCACCAGAGGGCAGTAGTCCTGCCACACATTCCGCGGTTGAGCTACCCAAGTCTGGCCAGCAGACTCTAGCATAGGGAGAGACTCAGGAGTTCCCGCAGCAGGGACAAAGGTGGGTTCACTGTAAACTAAATTCTCTTGGCATATCTGCCCCACAGGCTGCATGGGCTGTGAGGTTTCTCCTGCAGGTACTTCTAACACAGATATGGATCCAGCACCAGAATCCCTGACCAAGACCTGCAGCCAGGGCTGCTCCATCCCCTATGCCCCAGGTAAGCCGGACCAGTACGTGGGGTGGGGTGGAGGTAAAGGGCTTGGGGTGCAGAGGAAGCTGCCCTGACCGGTATCTCCTCCCAGGGCGAAATCCCCGAAAGGCCGAGTGACTGGAGCTACCAGCCTGGGGACGTCTTTTAAGATGACCCGCACGGACCCGCCGGACTTGCTGGTGTCGACCGTGTACCAGGACATCAAGGTGGTGGCCCCAGGGCTTACGTCCAAACGCCAGCCATGTGAGCGATCCGTGACCCGGCCAGCTGCGCCCGCGCCTTTCAACAAGCGCCACTGCCGTAGTTTCGACTTCTTAGAGGCACTGGACGAGCCCACCATGGAGACGCACCCAGAGCCGCCACCTCCCGAGCCCGCACCACCGCGTGCCCGGCCCCGAGACAGCGAGTCTCGGCGCCGCACCCGTTCCAAGAGCGCACCCCGTGCGCCCCACAGCCTGGCGCCTGCTCCAGCTTCACCGCCGGTATTGCAGCGCAGAGGCCGGGAAGCCCAGCGCTCGGTGAGGTTGGAGGGGTCCCCGCACCGGGAGCCCTCGTACCCTGCGCTGCGGGCTCTCGCCAATGAGCTGCACCCCATTAAGCTCCAGCCACAACGGGGCGGCCCCGGACGCATCGCGCCTCTGTGCGCCACCCCAGGCCGCTGTGCGCCGCCGGCCGAACCACCCACAGGACCTGTCCCCCACGTCCGCTGCCGTTTGGACATCAAGCCGGACGAGGCAGTGCTGCAGCACGCCGCCCGAAGCTCGCGACCTTGCGCGCCCAGCGAGGGGACGCCCTGGGCTCGCACAGCTCCACAATTCCATGGCCTCACAGTTCCAGGGCCCCGGCATGTGGCCCTGTCACGTACTCCCACCCCTAGTGATTTATACTGTACCGACCCCAGAGCAGTGTACTGCGACGGGCCGCTGCCTGGGCCCCGTGACTACTTGGAGCACCGCAGTCAAGCCTTCACAACGCCCCCAGGTCCCACCCAATTTTTCTACACCGAGGAACCTGAGGGCTACGCAGGCAGTTTTACCGCAAGCCCAGGCCTCCCTTTTGATGGCTACTGCTCCAGGCCCTACTTGACCGAAGAACCCCCCAGACCCAGTCCAAGGCGTGTGGGCGGCTACTATGCTGGGGAAGTACGCACCTTCCCGATCCAGGAGCCTCCCTCCCGCTCCTACTACGGGGAGACACCTCGAGCCTACGGCCTGCCTTTCGTCCCCCGGTATGTCCCAGAAGAGCCCCGGGCACACCCCAGTGCCCGCACCTTCTACACAGAGGACTATGGGAGGTTCCGTGAACGCGACGCAATGGCTCGGACTTACCCGCATCCGCGCAGCAGCCCAGCCTGGGCTGATTGGGGTCCGAGGCCTTACCGCACCCTTCAGGTGGTGCCTCCTCCCGCCCCTGGACCACTGTTGGCCTCGTGGCATGGTGGCACCGGCACAAGCCCGCCTAGGCTGGTGACAGATAGCCGCCACTACTCTCGATCCTGGGACAACATCCTGGCTCCTGGTCCTCGCCGTGAAGACCCTTTAGGACGCGGCCGCAGCTATGAGAACCTGCTGGGACGCGAGGTTCGGGATACACGGGGTTCATCCCCAGAAGGCCGGCGTCCACCAGTCGTCGTGAACCTGTCCACCTCACCCAGACGCTATGCAGCACTGTCGCTGTCCGAGACGTCACTCACAGAAAAAGGCCGTGGTGGAGAAAGCCTGGGCCGCAACTGGTACATCACGCCGGAGATCACCATCACCGACAACGACCTGCGCTCAGTAGAGCGCCCGACTGCTAGGGGCTGGGAATTGCCTGGAGGCCGACCGCGGCAGCCCGCACCCACGGTCCCCGAGGGACCTGCCTCCAGCCGCCAGCGCAGCCTCGAGCAGCTGGACGAGCTCATCACCGACCTGGTCATCGACTCGCGGCCACCGGGCCAGGCACCGGAGCCTGCCGCCGAAGGTTTAGGTCGCCAACTGCGCCGCCTGCTGGACTCACGGCCTGTGGGCCCTGGAGGAGCAAAGGCGCTGGCGCCGTCGCGCTCGCCCCCAGCCTCGGCTGGCAGCAATGAGGAGCCCACCGGCTCCGGGGAGGCAGCCGACGCTTCCCCGGAGCCCAGCGCAGACGAGGACGACTTGATGACCTGCTCCAACGCGCGCTGTCGGCGGACGGAGACCATGTTCAACGCCTGCCTCTACTTCAAGTCCTGCCACAGCTGCTATACCTACTACTGCTCGCGTCTGTGCCGCCGAGAGGACTGGGATGCGCACAAAGCGCGTTGCGTGTATGGCCGCGTGGGCAGCGTGTGTCGCCACGTGCTGCAGTTCTGCCGCGACAGCAGCCCAGTGCATCGCGCCTTCTCGCGCATAGCGCGCGTCGGATTCCTGTCGCGCGGCCGTGGCGTGCTGTTCTTGGGCTTCCCAAGCCCGGGCTCTGCCGACAACTTCCTACGCTTCGGCCTGGAAGGGCTACTGCTATCGCCCACCTACCTATCACTGCGTGAGCTGGCTACACATGCGGCGCCCCTGGGTAGCTATGCGCGAGAGCTGGCGGCTGCCGGGAGGCTCTATGAGCCCGCGGAGTGCTTCCTGCTTAGTGTGTCGGTGGCCGTAGGCCCCGGCGCTGCACCTTCCGGAACCGCTGCCCGGCCAGCACCACGCAGCCCTGGGCCCACCGTGCGCAAGTTCGCCAAGGTGGCCCTGGCCGCCGGCAGCCCGACGCGGCCTCCTCCTGCGCGTGGTGGAGAGCCAGACATGGAAACGCTGATCCTAACGCCACCTCCAGGCACTGCGGGCCTGGACCAGGAGGGTGAGGCCGGCCGGCGCGCACGTGAAGTGGCCTTCATCCACATCCAGCGTGAACTGCGACTGCGCGGCGTCTTCCTCCGCCATGAGTTCCCACGGGTCTACGAGCAGCTCTGCGAGTTCGTAGAGGCTAACAGGCGCTTCACGCCCACCACCATCTATCCCACGGATCGGCGCACGGGCCGCCCCTTCATGTGCATGATCATGGCTGCTTCCGAGCCACGAGCACTCGATTGGGTAGCCAGTGCCAATCTGCTAGACGACATCATGTGAGCTAGACAACATCATGGGACTGTTAGGCCCAGGCCCTGACCAGAGCCCTGCCTGATCCATCAAGACCGCCCCCAGAATCTGAACCACCTGGTTCAGCACCCCCGCCAAGTCCCCCGGAGCCTCCCTCAGTCTTCTACAATTTCTCTGCCCTGAGAGCTCCACCCACTCCAAACCTCTAACTTTGCCTAGGAGCCCACCCCCACCCCACCCCCGCCGTCCTGTTTCCCATCAGCTGCTTCTTTTCCTTCCTATTCTCAGCGAGACCACCCAGATCCCACATCCTGGGCTCTCCCCCAGTCAGCCAGGGAGAGGGGGCTCCCCAAGAGCCCGGTCCTCGCCCTCGGTGCTCCCCGCTGGGAGGTGGGGTGGGCCTGAGGACCGCTGGGCTCTGCCTTCTAGTGGAAGGTTACTACTACATACATCCCATGGGGACAAACTTGATACACATTGTGGGTGCTTGCTATAGCTCCCGAACCCTAGATTCATCCCCTTTCCTCCTAGTCCAGAAGTTCATGTTGACCAAAGCCTAATGTCCTTACTGTAAGCACTCCCCTAACCTTTCTCCTGTGTCTGGGGGGTGTCAGGCTCAGAGGCCTAGTCCTTGTGCATCCCTATGCTGTTGAGGCAATGGGCAGGGCCGCACACACACTAACAGTGCTGCCTATCCTGAGGTTCTCTCACCTCTGATCATGTTGGTCTGGGCCCTTGCAGAACCTGTTGGAATACTGCGGGGGACGGGTCTTCAGGCCAAGGCGTAGGCACAAGCCACCCAGCCAGAGGGGAACCTGAGCAGGGGAAGCAGAGTGTGGGTAGTGGGCAGGCCAGAGTCAAAAATCTGACTGGGCAAGGGTTTGAATTCGCTCACACCTACTCAACAAGATGGCCCTAAAAATCCACCTTCCAGAGAAGATGGAAGCTCAGGCCTTAATCTCCCAGGGAGGTGGGAAGTGTGTGCTAATGAATTAGCAGGGGACCCTACAGAGAGCAACACCTACCTGCTGACTGACTTGTGTTGAATAAGGAACAGGGGCTGGCCCTAATTAGAAACTGGTTGGGGTGCAGAGTAGTGAGCCACCAGGTGTGGGAGCCCTTAGGGAGCCGGTACTGAGGCCTACCCTGAGTCCAACCCTAAGCACAAACGTGCCGCATACACGCCCTGGCTGAGCTCCAAGCTGAGAGTAGAAGCCAAAGCCTGATGTGTTGTGGAGAGCGTAGGCCTAGGCAGCCCTGGGCCCCTTGCTGGACCCGTGCAGGCCTAACTGCACTCGGGTCCGCGCCCAGAACTCCGTTTAGGGTGTGACCCAGAGAGGCTTGAGACCAGAAGCTGGACAAGTGCTCTCTAGGAGCCCGCAGGCCCTTCAGAGGCAGGGGAGGTCAAGAGCGAGAGCCTGGGACAACTCCCTGCAGCGCGCGAGGCGCGCATGCTTCACTACCCTCCCTGCTGTGTGCCCCGATTGCCGCTCTTGCAACACTTGCTGCCGCTCAGCCTGCCGCCCTCCCCAGGGGCTCCACTTTCCTTCCTGCGGCAGGCTGGCAACAATGCCCCTGGCAAGAACTCGCCCATTTCTAAAGGGCGAGTGCTTTCAAACCAAGTAAAATAGAACTTGAATGTAGCTGCTGCGAACTCTGTGGTGACGGTGGTGGGGAGCGTTGGGTAGAGGCTTTGGGTCGTAGGAGCTTAGCAACAGACCTTGGGCGAGAGGGTATTGTGGAAGGGGAGGCCCGAGGGTGGAAAGGGGTCAGGTAGGGGCGTCTTTGAACTTGGAGAGGGGGAAGAGAGATCTTCGGGCTTATGGGTGTCGGGGAAGAGAAGACTTCGGATTTAATGGTTTATGCTAGGGGATTGAAGCCTTAGGACCCAGGAGTGGAGCCGGGGTGCGTCACTGCATCCTCTTTTGCTGCCCCACTTCCAGCAGCTTGATTTGCAGCATCACGGGATTTCCCTACATTGCAGCTCCTTTAACTGGTACTCAAGATCTCAAAGCTGCAAAGAACTGGATTGCAATTGGCTAGTCAGTGCCTCGGGTCGGAAGTACAACTGGTTGAGGCTCTGGGCCTCGGGAAACATCCCCTCACGCGATTGGCCAGGGCTGCCAAAGGGCCCGCCTCCCCCACGCTAGGCCTCGGTCGGGTTGGGAAAGGGGTTCTGGGGTCCTGAGGCCGAGCGCTTTGGGGAACATGGCGGCGGACCTCGCTCAGATTCCTGATGTGGACATCGACTCGGACGGCGTCTTCAAGTACGTGCTGATTCGAGTCCACTTAGGACCGCCCTCCGGGGATCCGACGAAGGAGTGCAAGGAAATCGTGCGTGGCTACAAATGGGCAGAGTACCACGGTGAGGGTGGGGCCTCTGCGCCTGAGGGGTGGGACGAAGGTTGGGGGCGGGGCATGAACCCAGCAGTTGCCAGTGGCAGGGCTGTGAATGCTAATGTACTGTGCCTTGAACTAACACTGAGCCAGGCTGACCTAGAAAAGTCGGGGTTCTGGGCAGAAGGAGTGCGAGACAGAACCCTTTTTAATTCCCTCTCCCACTTCGAAAGTGTCTTCTTCCGTTCATCCTTGTGCTTGCGGGGGAGGGGCTCATCTCCACTGGGAAAAAGACCACCAAGACCTGGAGCTTCAGACCCCCATATCTAGCACTAGAGTCCATTATGGGGCCAACAAGGGCGACCAGAGCATATTCTGAGGCCACTCTCCCCACCTTAGCGGATATCTATGACAAAGTGTCAGGCGAGCTGCAGAAGAATGGCTATGACTGTGAGTGCCTAGGCGGCGGACGCATCTCCCATCAGAGCCAAGACAGGAAGATACACGTGTATGGCTACTCTATGGTGAGCTCCAGTCCCCAGCCCAGACTGCAGAACTCATCCTTGTGAGCCTGACCCCCTGTCCTGCCACTCAGGCCACCTCTGAGGCTCTCAAAGTTGAAGTACAGAACCCTTAAGGACTGTGGCTTTCCATTTCCCGTATGACACCAGGGTGGGTAGAAGCCACCTGCCTTGGGCTGCGCTCCCTCCTTATCCTAGATCCTTATGGGTCTGTGTCCTGGCTCTTTGGAGGGCCCTTGGGGCGGTCATTGCTGGGGTCAAATCACAGCCCTGACCATCTCCATCTCTTTTATGAAGACCACTCTGGAGCTTCAGGCATCACCTATCCACCCCTTCAGTCCCCTTTCTGTTCCCGGCATGGTTAGGACTTTTCCCATGCCTGCTATTGCTGTGGCTGCTGGGTGGACTCACAAAGCAAAAGGCCAGACAGACTAGTAGTCATCTTCTCTCTAGGGTTATGGTCGTGCCCAGCACTCTGTTTCAACTGAGAAGATCAAAGCCAAGTATCCTGATTATGAGGTCACCTGGGCTGATGATGGCTACTGAGGCCCTGCCCCCAGCAACTAAGTCAGGACTCTGTTCTTCCTGTGTTGTCTCCGAGGGGCTGTCCCTGTGCTTTCCTTTCGTACCTTGGGCAACATGCCACCTGCCAGGCCTTAGAAGCCAGACCAATCTGTCCATAGGAATTAAAAGCATTGATATGCCTGCTAGTCCCTGACTTGTGTCTTGGCTTCTCTCCCTTTGGGTTGCCACAGGATAGACCTACTCAGCTCCAGGAGGCCCTGGGGGCTATTGGTGCATACTCAGCCCTTGGGGTTCAGATAAGGGGCCCCTGAGTTGCTGCCATTTATGGCCTGATTGCTCCTCCGTGGAACTGCTATCTCCAAGGACATCTGGGAGGAGGCCCCACGAGGCCTTGCACAAGAAGTCAGTTCCTGCCAACCAAGGCCTGGGGTGCCCACAAGTGCCCCCTTCCTGTAGTTCATCTAGGAATCCCAGCAGGAAAGGGTCCTGGCAGTCACTGTCCTGGCTGGCTGACAGGCTGCATTGTTCATCTCTTCTCCGTCCAGCCAGCAGGGAAGGTTCAGGATGTTACCCACAACCCCTCGGACCCTGCAGCTGCAGGCTAACTGCCTGTGTCGCATTCACTGAGGATTCCTGACTTTGTATGTGTCTTAGTCCCTGGACCAGCTCCACCTCACTGTACAGGACAGGGGTTAAGGACAAGCTTAACCCCTGCTCTAAGAAGTCCCATGCACAGTGTGTGATTATAGTAGGTACCAGGGAAAGCCAGGACTGGGGCATCCCTTACCATCCTTGGGCCAGCCTTTGTCAGCTCATGGCGTTCCTGTAGACTGCAAATACTCTACCGAGCTACCCTTGTATAATAGGCCAGCAGACAGGCCCAGGTGAGACAAGCCCCAAGGTCACACTAAGATAAGTCATAGACAGAGCCTAGCCCCATATGACAAACTCTTCACAACTCTGACATTCCTCCTGCCTCACCTGTGGGAAAGTGAACTTACGGGTTCGCCAGGACTTTCCTATCACGGACCACCCAGCACATGGCTTCTCAGGACAGTTTCAAAGATGAATAAGAGGCTAAAGACAGAGCTCAGCAGACTGGAGCTCTTGCCTAGTATACATGACATTCCCGTGTTCAGTTTGGAGTACCGCATAAACTATGTGGCAGGGACGCCTATAATCCCAGCACTTGAGAGGCGGAGGCAGGAGGATCAGAAGTTATCCTCAGCTACATAGCAAGTTCCGGCCAGCCTGGGCCACGTGAGACACCCCTCCCCACACACACACACACCCCAGAATAGTTAGCAGATGGCACAGCTTGAGTTACAGGTGCTGTGGAAGAGAGGACACCACATGCTGACATGGGACTTGTCCTGGTCCACAGAGGCAAGCTGTTGACCCTGGACTTGTCCTGATCTGATCCCCTAAGCAGAGAGGAGGAAGCTTGTGGACATGTATGTACTGGATGGCCATGTGCAGCCACTGAGTAGACTGTCCTGACATCCTTGGCCTGCACCACGGTGGCGCTCTAGGCCCCCTTAGAGAATCTTAGAGCCTTGCAGGTAGGGTCCCCAGCCTTTCCACATTCCAATAGAAACTTCCAGTGGGGTGGGTAGGGCAGGGCAGGGCTGGATGGATACACAGGATGGCCAAGACCTGACCTTTGGTCAGAAAGAACCAAGCAGGGGCCCCCTTCCAGAGATACTTTTACAGCTGGATGCTTGGCCTGTCATCATTGCGTGGGACCCAGCCAAGGGGCTGCAGGTATAAAGGAGCTGAGCCCTTTCCAGTGAGAGCTAAGTCAGCCCGTGAGGCCACTGTGGACTGATAACTGCATAGTCTCCTCTAGGTTACACAGCCTTCCTAGCCCTGGGACATCCCAGCCTGGCCATGTACCTGCATAGCCACCTCCTTTCAACCTTGGTCCTATTTATGGGTGAGTAAACTCTTGCCTGGATGCCAGTTGGTATCACGGCAGATACAGGAACTTGTCAGAGCAGGTTGTCCACAATGGGGACATCCAGGACAAGCCAACAGGGCCAGGGATTGCCCACCTACATCTTATCTCCCTGTCCTAGAGGACAGGCCACGGGACATCAGAGGTGACCATCTACCCAGCTCCTTGAGCCTTTGCCTGCCACCTTCCCTGTTGGAACATGTGGAAGTTCCTTGGCCGTCCTCAACATGTCTTTTTATGCAGGGTGGGGTGGGGTGGGGTGGGTGTGGGGGGACAGACGACATGACGGAACATGGGACCCTACTGGAAACTTCCCATCCTAGTCATGTGGGCTCCTGTGCCTTCCCTGTGGGGTGTTTCTTATCAAGAGCCCTTTCCCCTCCCTGACGTGCGGGGGCTCTGTGGGGCTAGGAAGGTGGGAAGGCATTTTGTTTACTCTTGATGTAGAGCCACAGTGGCAGTTCTTGGTAGATGTCATGTTCCTCTCTATATGATCTCATAGGGCTGAGCCCTGAAGTCAAATCGGCTAGTCTGGGGTTTCTCTGGACATAGAATTTATACTGCTCAAAACAGCCAGTCAGAGCTGGCAGGATGGCTCAGAAGGTACAGGCATTGGCTGTCAAGCCTGAGGGCATTTGTTCGGTCCTGGGTCCCACACAGTGGAAGGAAGTAAACGACTTCCACCTCAGTTGTCCTCTGACCTCCACACCTCTTGCACAGCACATATATGGACACAAATACATACATCTGTATGTTTTAAAAATAAAAACAGCCAGTCACACCTGGCCCGTCGCTCACTTGGCTGTTACTCTGCCAGCTGCACAATCCCTAGGCAAGACCTGGGTGCCCAGCCACTGCAGAAGTCCCATCGAAGCTGTGTGCAACTTCGTCTGTGACTGTGGAGACTGTTCAGATGAAGCCCAGTGTGGTGAGCTGTCAGGTGGGAGTGGCAGGGAGTGGCGGTGTAAAGGCAGACCCCTGACCACTCACTCTCGCAGGTTTCCATGGTGCTTCAACCACCCCGAGCATGAGCATCCCTTTCACCTGCAACTTTGAGCAGGACCCCTGTGGCTGGCAGGACATCAGCACCTCAGGCTACAGCTGGCTTCGAGACCGGGCAGGGGCAGTGCTGGATAATCCTGGGCCTCGTTCTGACCATACACATGGCACTGACTTGGGTAAGGCCCAGGGAATCCGTGTACATGCACCATTACTATTCCACCACCCTTCTGCCTTGGTTTCCTGTCTGGCCTCCTAACCTCTCACCCTTGGCCAGGCTGGTACATGGCTGTGGGAACCCACAATGGGAAGGAGGCATCCACTGCGACTCTGCGTTCCCCCGTCATGCGTGAGGCAGCTCCTACCTGTGAACTGAGGCTCTGGTACCACACAGCCTCTAGAGGTATGCGCTGTGGATCCCTGAGGTTCAAGGCCAAGTGGCTCTGGGAAAAGGCTGGGCGAGGAAGGGTATGGCTATAGACACAGGCGGATACTCCCAAACTGTGGGCTAGGGTACAGCTGGTAGGCTAGAGGGAAGCATCAAGGGGCTGGAGATGCCCCCCCAAGACCACTCAAAACACTACAGATGTTGCTGAGCTGCGGCTGGAGCTGACCCATGGTGTAGAGACACTGACCCTGTGGCAGAGCTCAGGACCCTGGGGTCCTGGCTGGCAGGAGCTGGCAGTGAACACCGGCCGTGTCCAGGGTGACTTCAAAGTAAGCTGTGGGGTCTTCCAGGCTGGGGACAATGGGGAGGGTCTGGGCACCGACCTAGATCCTAAGGATCCGTCCTCTCTCCAGGTGACATTTTCTGCCACCCGAAATGCCACACACAGGGGTGCTGTGGCCTTGGATGATGTGGAGTTCCGGGACTGTGGGCTACCCAGTAAGGCTGCGTACACATCACCCTGTCCATAGCTGGACGACCCTCACTGCCCACCTCCATGAGTCCTCAGCCTCCCCGGGATACCTCCATCCCAAATCCTGGGGCCAAAGTGGATGTTAACTCTTTTCCACCCAGGTCCTCAGGCCAGCTGCCCCCCGGGGCACCACCACTGCCAGAACAAGGCTTGTGTGGAGCCCCACCAGCTGTGTGACGGCGAAGACAACTGTGGAGACAGATCTGATGAAGACCCGCTCATCTGCAGTGAGGCTGGGGCCATCTAGGGCCGGGCAGGGTGAGGGACTGCAGCATAAGACTGGGAGGCTAGACCTTGACCCCAGGTCCTCCAAAGAACACAGGCTAGTCCAGGAAAGTGGACATTGGCACAGCCATTCTGGGTGGGACAGCCAATGTTTCCCTGGAACCAGGGCCATCTGACTACAGAAAGCCCTGCTCAGTGTCCCCAATAACCCCTCACCCCACTCCTTAGGCCACCACATGGCCACTGACTTTGAGACAGGCCTGGGACCGTGGAACCAGTTGGAGGGCTGGACCCGGAATCACAGTGCTGGCAGCATGGTGAGCCCTGCCTGGCCCCACCGAGATCACAGCCGGAATAGTGCATATGGTGAGGTCTCCAAGGGACCATGGCCATGGCCTTTTCCACCCACCTGTCTCCCAATAATCCTGGCCCATATTTGCCCTCTCTCACAGGCTTTTTCCTGGTCTCTATGGCCAAGCCTGGCACCACTGCTGCCCTCTTCAGCCCTGAGTTCCAAGCCTCAGTCCCCTACAACTGTTCGGTGAGATGGATGTGTGAGAAAATAAGACACACACAGGGTTGCCCATCCTGCTTGTCTGATGCCAGAGGCCCCTGACAACCTGTGATTTCTTCTGTTTCAGCTCACCTTCTATTACTACCTGCATGGGTCTGAGGCCAGCCGCTTCCAGCTGTTCCTGCAGGCACAGGGGCTTAACACCCCCCAGGATCCTGTCCTGCTGCGGAGCCACCATGGAGAGCTGGGGACAGCCTGGGTCAGAGACCGTGTTGACATTCAAAGTGCCCATCCTTTCAGGGTGAGGCTAGCCAGGCTGTGACTGGGATCCAGGGAACCCTGCCTAGAGCATGCTCAGGAGAACATGGGGCATTTTGCAGTCACTCTTGAGGGCTGCTCAGTGGGAGAGGTGGAGAGTATCTGGCAATGTATGAAGTACAACAGTGAATAAACCGGGGTATCAGAAAGAAGACAGGACAGAATAATGCTTGGCCCTCTGTCCTCAGATCCTTCTAGCTGGGGAGACTGGTCCAGGAGGCATCGTGGGCCTGGACGACCTCATCATGTCCAATTACTGCAAACTTGTTCCAGGTGATCTGCCTAAGGCCCTCCCCTGGCCTGCCCAGGAAAAGCAAGGTCCTCACCCACTCTGACCTGGCTTCAATTCTGCTCCAGATGTGTCCACAATGCAATCATGCTCTGGATCTGAGGCATTAGCCCTCTGTCCCCAGACATCCATGGAGGTGCCTCAGGAAGCCTGTGAGCCCGGACATCTCTCCTGTGGAGAACTGTGTGTGCCCCTGGAGCAGCTGTGTGATTTCCAGCAGCAATGTGCAGAGGGCGAGGATGAACAGAAGTGTGGTGAGGCCAGTCAGAGCCTGGGTTCCACATGTGCAGGGGGCCCAGGCAGGCCAGGGAACGGGGCTTTGCTGCCTTCTGGAGCAGGCTGTTGTTGCAGGCACCACAGACTTTGAGTCCGCCTCTGCTGGGGGCTGGGAGGACACGAGTATAGGAAGGCTGCAGTGGCAACGGGTCGCAGCCCAGAACAGGAAACTTGCCAGGGATGCTGACCGGGATGTTCCTGGTGAGGCCACTTCCCTACAGGAGCTCCTCCTCAGAGAGTCTGTAAATTAGGGCTACCAGAGCAGTGAGGGGGTACCTTGCTCTTCCCATAGGGCACTTCCTATCTCTCCAGAAGGCCTGGGGGCAGCTCAGATCTGAGGCCCGGGCTCTCACACCTGCCCTGGGCCCCTCAGGCCCTCGCTGTGAACTCCACATGGCTTACAGTTTTCACAGTCATCCCCAAGGTACTACATGCCTCCTGGTCCCCGGCCCAACCCCCAGGAGCCCCCTGTGTGGTGGACAGGGTCTGAGGATGACCCACCCCTATGAACTCCCTTGGTCAGGCTTCTTGGCACTGGTTGTGGTGCAGAGCGGCTTCCGGGAGCTGGTGTGGCAGGCCCCAAGCAGCAGCAGCAAGGGCTGGACCGTGGAGAAGGTTCTTCTTGGGGCACGGCACCGGCCATTCCAGGTGAGGATGGCGGTCCAGGATGGGGACTCTGTAACGAGCCTGCCCTTAGCTGAGTCTTTTCCCTCCATCTGCTTAAAGCTAGAGTTGGTGGGTCTGGTGGACTTGGATGGCCCTGGCCAGCAGTGGGCTGAGGTGGATAATGTGACCATGAGAGACTGCAACCCCACAGTGACCACTGAGAGTGACCAAGGTTTCTCCTGCCCACCTCCCATCCCCACCCAGGGGCCGCTACCCAGTCTACCTCTAATCTTTATCACAGATGGGAAGGGGGAGGGGGTAGTGCTGACCCCCACCCACCTCTACCCCACCCCTAGAGGTCTCCTGTAACTTTGAACGGGACTCATGCAGCTGGCACCCAGGCCACCTCACAGATGCCCACTGGCACCGTGTAGAAAGCCATGGTTCCAAGTACGACCACACCACTGGCCAAGGTAGGGGAGTTCCCAGACCCATGCTCTCTGAGGCCTGGGAAGGGAGTACAAACTGGGAGAGCGTTTCTGCAGCTCAGCTTTTCGTCCCCTTAGGCTTTCTCATGTTCCTGGATCCCACGGACCCACCTGCTCGTGGACAAGGTGCCCTCTTACTCACAAGACCCCAGGTGCCGCTTGTCCCCAAGGAATGTCTCAGCTTCTGGTACCACCTGTATGGGCCCCAGATTGGTGAGAGTCTCAGCTGTTAGGGCCTCTGGATGTATCTGGTGCCCATTGCAGCCTGAGGCACCAGGAGTTTGGGGGGGCTGTTCCCCTCCAAACTCTACTCCTCTTCAGGGACACTACGCCTGGCCATGAAGAAGGATGGGGAGGAAGACACACTACTGTGGTCCAGGTCAGGCACCCATGGCAACCGCTGGCACCAGGCTTGGGTCACTCTTCACCATCAGCTAGAGGCTAGCACCAAGTACCAGGTGAGGGTGAGCTTGGCACTTGGTAGATGGTGTAGGGTTGGCCCCCGCCAATTACCACTCTCCACCCTCAGCTGCTGTTTGAAGGCCTCCGGGATGGGTACCATGGCACAATGGCCCTGGATGACATGGCTGTACGGCCAGGCCCCTGCTGGGCCCCCAAGAGTTGTTCCTTTGAAGACTCTGACTGCGGCTTCTCTCCAGGGGGCTTGGGGCTGTGGAAGCGCCAGAGTAATGCCTCAGGCCATGCTCCTTGGGGTCCTTGGACAGACCACACCACAGAAACAGCCCAAGGTACTGGTATGGCTGGGGTGGGGGAACAGAGGGCTGGCCAGGGGAAGGAAAACTGATGCCAGTCTCCCTTCCTCCAGGGCACTACATGGTGGTGGACACCAGCCCAAATTTACTGCCCAAGGGTCATGTGGCCTCTCTGACTTCAGAGGAGCACCAGCCCCTGACCCAGCCTGCCTGCCTGACTTTCTGGTACCATCTGAGCCTCCATAACCCAGGTGAAGGGCTATAGGAAAGGGAAAGGCCCCTGTCCATGACTGGGGAGCCCCCAAGGCAGCTAACCTGGCTGGTTCTTGGTGGGTAGGCACCCTGAGGGTACACCTGGAAGAGAGCACAAGGCGCCAGGAGCTCAGCATCAGTGCCCATGGTGGACTTGCCTGGCGTCTGGGCAGTGTGAATGTGCAGGCTGGGCAGACTTGGAGGGTGAGTGCCTGGGTGGGTGGGAAGAGGAAAGCCTTCTCATCCTCAAGGGTTGCCAGGACCAGCCTGCATGATCTGTGGCTCTATACCCTGTAGGTAGTGTTTGAGGCTGTGGCTGCAGGTGTGGAGCATTCCTACATGTCTCTGGACGACCTTCTCCTTCAAGACGGGCCCTGTGCTCAGCCAGGTAAGCAGCTTGCTGTGGCCCGAGTACCATATGTATGCCAAGAACAACTCTCTGATTTTTGCCCCACCTGGCCCTGCCCAGGCGTGGTGATGCTTAGTGGGGCAGCTCTGCTCACCTGCTAGTTCCTTGCAGGGTCCTGTGACTTTGAATCCGGGCTGTGTGGGTGGAGCCACCTTGCTTGGCCCAGCCTAGGTGCATACAGCTGGGACTGGAGCAGCGGAGTCACCCCATCCCGCTACCCCAAACCCACAGTGGACCACACCCTGGGCACAGAGGCAGGTGCGCATTGGCTTACGTGGGACCCGGGCTGATACCACCTCACAAAACTGGGCTGTCTGTGCTCACCCAGCTTCCCTCTAGAGACCATCACGTCAAGGGAGCCAACACATCCCACCCTTTCATTTCCAGGCCACTTTGCTTTCTTTGAAACCAGCGTGCTAGGTCCTGGGGGCCAAAAAGCCTGGCTTCGCAGTGAGCCACTGCCAGCAACTACAGCCTCATGCCTTCACTTCTGGTACTTCATGGGCTTTCCTGAGCATTTCTGTGAGTGGCTGGGCCCTGGGTGTAGGGGAACGGGGCTCAGGTTAGGCACAAAAGTGTTCCCCGGGAACCTAAACTGACCTGCCCTGGTTCCTGCTCTCAGATAAGGGTGAGTTGAGAGTGCTCCTGAGCAGTACCCAAGGCCAACTAGCTGTGTGGGCCCGGGGCGGGCACTTGCGGCACCAGTGGATACAAGTCCAGATCGAAGTGTCCAACTCTGAGGAGTTCCAGGTGAGGTCCCGGGGGAGCTGTCCTCCCTTCCCTCTCTTCTGTCCCTCCAGATACTCACACCTTTCCCTTCCCTGTCAGATTGTTTTTGAAGCCACTCTGGGTGGCCAGCCAGCTCTGGGGCCCATTGCCCTCGATGACGTGGAGTACTTGGCAGGGCGGCACTGCCAGCAGCCTCCACCTAGCCAGGGTAAGCACTGGGCTCCGGGATGGCAGACTTGTCCTGAACCTGCCAAGCTTCGGTTGGTGGCTCAATGGCTACAAGTACTCTGCGGCCACTCAGGAAAGCAGCTGAGTCGAGGCTGGGCTGTGTTCTCCCCGCTGTGCTTTTCCCCACAGAACCATACCCGCGTGGGGTGGGCTGTACGTAAGGGCTGCATCAGCTTTCACGGTCTCCTTCTGGGCAAGAACTGTCTTGAAGGAGCTGCCGGGTTAAGCCGGAGACCACAATGGGAGCTGTGTTGGGCAGTCACTGGCTGCCATCGTGCTGGGAGGAAGGGGTGGAACAGCTCTCAGCACTGTGCTGACAGATCAACAAGGGCGCACCCTGGAGTCAACAGGGGCTGGAGGGGTTGGGCAGCCCAGGCTCACCTCTCGCCAGCAGTCCTAGAAACAGAACCCTGACACAAGGACTGGGAGCTGTGTGGAGAACTCAGGCGCCGTCTCTGCCCTCAGGTGAAAAGGCAGCACCTGTGTCTGTGCCTGTAGCTGTTGGGGGGGCCCTCCTCTTCTTCATGTTCCTGGTGCTCCTGGGCCTTGGGGGTCGGCATTGGCTACAGAAACAGCGCTGCCCCTTCCAGAGGAGTACAGATACAGCAACCTCTGGTTTTGACAATATCCTCTTCAATGCGGTAGGAACCCCCAGATGTGGGCAAGTGGGAGATTCTGCCTCCATGCTTAATGATGGGAAAGCAAGAAGTGGTGGGCCAGGACTCAGGAAGAGACACCTTGCCCCATCCATTCAAGTCCAGACTGCCTTTCAACAGCCATTGTCCAATATTCCTCCCTTCTTCCTAGGATCAAGTTACCCTCCCGGAATCCATCACCAGCAGCTCATAGACCAGACAAGGCCTGGCCCCATGCCAACTCTCACAGCATTCGACCCTCACAGATACCCAAGCTTCTACAGCTCTTCCTCCATCTGGTGGCTTTGCCCTCTGGTGTGATCAAGGATAGAGGGGTCCTTGCACTGTGAATAAACATTCTACACCAGTGAGGGCAACCCAGGCTTTCAGGCTGCACTTCATATATGCTGTACTTGGCAGGACATACCATAGCTGGAAGGTGTGTGTCCCTCTGGGGTTCAAGACCTAACCTGAGACAGAATTCAGAGAGTGGGTGTGGAACCTCCTCATTGACTTTAGTGCCCCTCAGAAATTACAGGATCCACCTAAGGACCTACCACCCTACCCAGCAAGAACAGGCTCAGCTTCTAACTTACCAGGTGGTTTTATACCCAATGAGGATGGAATCACCCCCACAGATACAGGAAAACTGGGGGTGTACAGACACCTGAATATGGTGCCATGAAAACTGGTTTGGTGAAGAGAAATGCCACCACCTCAGATAAAGGCCTGAACAACCCTGGGGCTGCAAATGGTGAGGCTGAGGTCACTGGGTATGCCCATCACGCTTCACAGCAGGACACCCGAGGGAAGCTGCTCTTTAGCCTTTGGACTACAGGACTAGAGATGTGAAAACAGAGCTCAGGCTGCCACCCTGCATCAGGACGTTGTGATGGGGACACATCGGGAGAGGTTTCTGAAGTCCCCATCTTCCACATAATGCCTCAGCTGTGGCTTCACTGAGGGCCCTGAGGGCTGTCCTCAGGGCAAGGGAGTGGCCATCCACTCCTCAGCAATCAGGTGCTCCCTTCCTATCCAGGGAAACCTGTCCTCACCATAGATACCATATGTTCCAAGCCAGGCTCCTGCCTGTCCAAAACTCAGCTCCATGGGAAAGAGGTGGTGGGACACGGCCAGGTACCACCCTGCATCTTCAGGTACTACAAGGCTGGCTGATGGCCACTTCTCTGAGCAGACAGAAAGAACTGTCAAATTCCTCAGGTCCCTATGAGGTTTCGAAGATAATAAGACGATAACGAAGGAAGTGTTTCATCCCTCAAACTGTGACCTATGGTGGAGAGCTGGAGGCTGCAGAGTGCTAGGCCCTGCTTCTCTCCAGCAGAACACAGGCTCTTAGAAGACATCACCTCCTCCCAGGCACTACTTCCCGGGGAGTTCTTCTACCTCCAGATCTGAACTCCCCACTGCAGCCAGCTGTCCGTGGGACAGAAGGTGCAGGTCCGCACCCCTGCTGAGGTCAGAAAGCAGGGAGGAAAAAGCCAAGAGGCTATCACTTTGCAAGGTTTTGCTTTGTTTGACAGCAGGTATGGGTTGAGGGGGCACACAGGCCTGACCCCCGTGTTCCGTTTGACCATGTGAGGAGACCCACGGCAGTGCTGGTGGTCCTGGGGGACCAGCCAGAAGAGCTCAGCCGGAACCACTGGCTTCGAGGCTTTGTGTTCATTTCGCCTTCGGCCCCTTCTCGATAGGCTTCCCGATGTCCTTCCCCCGGAGCTTGAGGCCTGAAACGAGCCAGCAAGATGCTGACCACTCTGCAGCTTCCTGCACCTACCCAACCTCCCTGCTCTCCTTGAGCTTTCCATCATTGCCTACTGGCATCACAAGGCCTTCACATGGAGGGCTGCTTTCACATCTGACATTAGAGTGTGGGCCAAGCATCTCATAAAGGGTTGAGGACCAGGCTGGTGACTCACACCAGCAATCCCAGAGCTCAGGAGACTGAGGTAGGAGGACTGATGGGAGTTTGAGGCCAGCCTGAGCTACAGAGAGACTATATAAAAAATAAAATCTAAGCCAGACGTGGTGGTGCACGCCTTTAATGCACATAGGAGGCAGAGGTAGGCAGATCTCTGAGTTCAAGGCCAGCCTTGTCTACATAGTGAGTTCCAGAACAGACAGAAAAAAAACCAAAATAATAATAATAAATAAAATCTAAAAAGATGAGCAGACAGACATCTTGATCTCTTGTCCCAGCAGAACTGGAACACTGCACTGGGCCTCCATGGAGGTGCACTGGAGAAGTAAGTGTGTGCCATGTAGGCACCCTGAGGGCAGTGTGTTCTGGCTGGATGCTAGCTATAGAAGGACCCAGACACCATTTCCTTAGGGTTCTGGAGTCTCACCAATCCACCAATCCTCTAGCCTTTAGGCAGGAGTCTAGTAGTATGACCTCAAGAGGACAGGGGCCTGCCACCTCAGCCCTCGCCACCCCTCACAGAAGGGCAATGCCTCGTCCAAAGACTGCCAGGGAAGACACTCACCGATGGCTCTCTCAATTTTGCCCAAAACCTGGTTATTCGGAATGGCCCGTCCACTTTCATAGTCTGCGATGACTTGCGGCTTTTCATTGATTTTCTGAAGAAAAGATGCACCTTAGCCATACTATAGCTCAATAAGATGTGTTGTAGAAGCCAGGAGAGGTGCCCACAGGCAGCCATTTTTGTTTGGGGTCCCTGGTACCCCCATACAGACAAGTCTTGAGCAAGAGAGAGCTACAGCTTCTCTGACCTAGCTTTCCCAGAGGATTTGGGGTGTGCTAGGGTAAGGTCCCAAAGCTGCCATGCAGTAAGCCCACCTTCCCTATGCTGTCTAAGCACCTGTCCCCTGTCCCCACTCCATAGCCGCAAAAAGCCTCACCGTGGCCAGGTCCTTCTGCGTCAGGCCCTTGCTCTGCCGGCCCCGCTGAATCACTTTGCCCACCTCCAGGGTCACCCTGTCGTGATGCAGCTCCTCTGTCTCCCGGTCTAGCTTGGCTGTGTTCTTAGTGATGGAATGCTGCTTGTTCTGGCCAGCAGCCCCTGGAGGCAATGTGAGCAGAACAGAGCAGAGATGGTTTGCAGTCAACATGGGGGAAAGAATTTCAAATGGAAACCAGACTGACAGGATCCCAGGCCCAGCTGACCTGGACTTCAGACCTCAGAGCCCTGAATCTGAATCTTCCCACAGTGGTGAGAAGAAGGTGGAAAGTTAACAGTCCCTGCTGACCTCACACCACCCAGAGCTGCACGGACAGGTCAAGAATATTTCCTGGCTGCCCAGGTCTCTGTTCCTGACAGGTCCCCAGGGCACTACCCAACCATACCATCAGGCAAGCAATCCCACAGCACATCCTTGCTTTGCAAGTGGAAACTTGAGTACCTACATTTCTTGGATGTCTCCACATCTTCTCCTCGTCTCTGAGCTGCTAAGATGGCCTAGAAAACCAGAAAGTGGTTTTCAATCAAAAGGTGCTTTTGGGGCGTGTGGGGCACAATTTGGGCAGCTGTTTGCCAACCACATGCTAGGTGTTCTAAAAGACTGACACACAATGCTAGGTGAAACAATCCAAAGTCATCACAAGAGGCTCCTCCACCCCACTCTGGTTTCACTTCCCATGTTTTTTGTTAATCCATGGTCAGCTTTAGTTCAGAAATGTTAAATTCCAGATAATAAACAATTCATAATTTTGAAATTTTGTATGTTCTGAAAAGTGTGATGTGGTCTCGTACCATCCCCATTGAGACATAAAACCATGCCTCTGTCCAGCTGTGTCCATGCTATGTCCATGCTATATGCATGCTACCTGCTTCTGACTCATTTACCTGGCAACCTCTTTGGTTACCAGATAACTGCCAAGGCACCAAAACAGACTTTACGTTCAAGAAATCATGATGTAGGAGCCTGATGCTACCTTAAAATGGCTGTGTGGTTCACATCACTTTAGGGCATCAAATTAGATAAGGTATAGTTTCATACCATCCCTAAAAGAAGAGGAATGTAGGAGCCTAAGAGACAACTCTTATTACAGTGCACTGTTATAACAGGTTTTTTTCCCAAACTTTAGTTACGACTGGCCCTTTTTTGGATGTATTTATTTTTATTTTACACGTATGAGTATTTGCCTGCATATATGTCTGTGTACCACATTCATACAGTGCCCACAGAGGCCCGAAGAGGTGTTGGATCCCCGAGAACTGGATTTCTGACAGGTGTAAATTGCCGTGTTGATGTTGGTACACAAACCTGAGTCCTCTGCAAGAGCTGCAAGCACTCTTACCCACTCTTAGCCCTCTCTCCAACCTTATTACTATTTCTTACTGTGCCTCATTTATAAACTTGGTCATGGTTATATGTGAGTAGGAAAAAACACAGTACATACAGGATCCAGCACAACTCACAGTTTCAGGCATCCACTGAGCAGCCTCAGAATGTGTCCCCAAAGAAACAAAGGTACACTGTACACAAACCCTCAATACCCAAATACCCAGATAATGTGCATTAAACTACTGCTAAAAGAACCAACTCACTTCTACACTAAAACAGGCTTGAGCTGGGTGTGGTGGCCCACAGCTGTGACTCTAATACTCAGAAGGCTCGGAAGGGAATCCAGGCCAGTGTCAGTTACGGGGCAAGACTTGCTTAGTATTAAATACACAAGGTCCTGGATTCAATATCAGCACTACAATAAATAAATTATACATTTACATACATATGTGTATATACATACACGTGTGTGTGTGTGTATATATATACACACATATATATGTGTGTATATACACACATATATATGTGTGTATATGTGTGTATATACACACATATATGTGTGTGTATACACACACACACACACACACACATATATATATATATATGCATATATATATATATATGCTAGCAGGTTCTTTATTGAAAATAGACCTATTTCTCTTCCAAACCCTGCTATAAAGCAGGAAGGAGTGGAATGCTGGCCTGGCTTCCTCAGCCAGTATGACTCCTAATGAGAGATGACACACCCCACAGAACCCTGTAGTCTCCCTGGAAACAGGACCACTAATAGTGATGCCTGGGTCACAGTCACTGAGTATTAATATAATGTTTCAGAAAAGTGGCCTGTGAGCCATTATCTGTGTAGTATGTTCCGACTTTCTACACACTTGTGATGACTCCAAGTTCCCTTGAAAAGGACTGGGAATTTGGCTTCGACTATGCAGCAAATAAAGCCAAAGCTGGTCAGTACTATTCAAGGTACCATAGCACTCAGGGCTCAAGAAAGCAGAGTGCACCTATGGAGAGGACACTCGGCCACAGGAGACCACCACTGCCTCAGACAGCACTCTTTATAGGCTCAGATCGCATGAGTGCGCTTCATGGACACCAAGCC